TCTTTTATATGTATCAAAACGAGAAGGTACTAGGACCTTGCATCATAAGCGCCCAATGGGTAGGCCTATATCCTTGTATCAGGTGTTCAGACGTTTCCTCTCTGTGGAATTGTAAGAGCAATCTTATTTTACAGCCATAATCTTCAAAACTTGCAACGGTTGTAATCATTCTCAGGTGAAAGATTGTTTTAACTCGAAAAGCCAGATTAATCATCCAACAACAATAAAATCTGTATCTTATATAAAAAAACTCATATATAACAAAAAAAACAAATTTGTTACACTTTTTTCCGAAAATTTTCTTCAGAATCTATTAATATATATATATATATATTTTTTTTAAGATAGAATCTATTAATGTCGGTCCATGGAGATCCAGATAAGAAGAAGAACAGTGCACGATGTTTAAGGACAGAAAATTACAAAAAAAAGAAAAAGGGGGAAACAAACGCGAATAATTTTCTGCGGCTAAAAATTTGGCAACCTTTGGTGACGACACGTGGCGGATACCCACTTTCTGTTCTCTTCTGGAAAAGCGTGTATAAAGGGCCTACTAGCCAATGGAAGGATCGCAAGCTTGCGACTTTCGTAAAGAATTTCCCACCAAAGTTTAAACAATCAAAATTCCCTGTTTTTAAATCTTGTTCTTTTTGATCGATTGCTTTTGTGGGTCGTGTTTTTCGTGATTTTGGGTTTTTGGGTGTGGATTGATTCCGGGTTTGTTGCAGAAATTTCAAAAATTTGGGTATGGGGGTTTCGATGATTGGGAGTTCTCAGGCGCAGATCCGGAGAACGGAATTGGGGTACAGAGATTTCAGGTTTTGCTTCGGGAAGAACGATGAAAGGAATAGGATCTTGTCGAGAAAGACAAATCATGTTTGCTTTGTGGGTCAAAGTAACAGGTGGAGGAATTCCAGGCTTCAATTTGCTGTGAAAGTCATGAAAGCTGAACCTGTTCTTGCATCAAAACCTTCCATCAGATCCAAATCCGTAAGCTTTCTTTCCTCTGTTCATTTTCTTTTCCTCGGTAAACAGTTTATTATCTTTCTATTTTTAGAAGAAGGGTAGAATTTTGAAAGTTTTTAAGCTGAGTTAGAAGCAAATTAGCTGATATTCTGGTCTGATGTTGATTGTCTCCCTTTGTGTTGAATTGTGATGCAATTTATGTTGCTAATAACCTGGAATCCTTGCTTTCTTAAATGTATAAATATACCTAATTATGTGTTTCCTGGTTGCCATAGAATAAAAATGCTTATCAATCACCTTCCTGGTCCTGCTAAGTTTAATTACATTTATACTGATTATAACAATTTTGTTCACAGCTTGGTAGCTCTAGATTATTTGTTGGGTTGCCATTGGATGCGGTCTCAGATTGCAATACAATAAATCATGCGCGAGCCATTTCTGCTGGACTAAAAGCTTTGAAATTGTTGGGAGTGGAAGGTGTTGAAATGCCTGTGTGGTGGGGGATAGTTGAGAAGGAAGTTAATGGGGAGTACAACTGGTCTGGCTATCTGGCTCTTGCAGAAATGGTTCAGAAAGTTGGGCTCAAGCTCCATGTATCGCTCTGCTTCCATGGATCTAAGCAGCCAAAAATCCCCCTACCCAATTGGGTGACTCAGATTGGTGCATCCCAGCCTGATCTGTTCTTTACTGATCGATCAGGGCAGCGTTACAAAGATTGTCTATCATTGGCTGTTGATGATCTAGCCATCCTTAATGGCAAGACCCCAATCCAAGTTTACCAGGAATTTTGTGAGGGCTTTAAGTCTACATTTTCATCTTTCTTGGGTTCCACAATCACAGTAAGAATTTATAATCATACAATGAAATAGCCTGTGTTTGAATCTCGTTTGGTGTTTTGATGATATTTATGGTTTCCATGTGTTGGTTCTACAGGGAATCTCTGTGGGTCTTGGACCAGATGGTGAGCTTCGATACCCATCACAGTCACACCACCAGCAAGCCAAAAATAGCCGAATCACTGGAGTTGGGGAGTTCCAGTGTTATGACAGAAACATGCTTAACTATCTTAAGCAGCATGCTGAAGCAACTGGAAACCCTTTATGGGGATTAGGTGGTCCTCATGATGCCCCAGGTTATGATCAATCACCTAGTTCAAATAACTTTTTCAAGGATCATGGTGGATCTTGGGAAACTCCTTATGGTGAATTTTTCCTTTCCTGGTACTCAAGCCAGCTCATATCTCATGGAAACCGTCTCCTCTCTCTTGCCTCTTCAACTTTCAGTGATACTACAGCAAGCATTTATGGGAAAATCCCCCTAATGCACTTCTGGAACAGAACCAGGTCTCACCCTTCTGAATTAACAGCTGGTTTCTACAATACCATCAACAGAGATGGTTATGAAGCAGTTGTAGAGATGTTTGCAAGGAATTCATGTAAAATGATATTGCCAGGGATGGACTTGTCTGATGAACACCAGCCACATGAATCCCTCTCCAGCCCTGAGTCATTAATTGCACAAATCAGAACAGGATGCAGAAAGCACAAGGTTGAGGTTTCAGGAGAGAACCTAGATTCAAGGGCTCCAGGTGGATACGAGCAGATTAGAAAAAACATTTTGGGTGAGAATTTGGTAGATTCGATCACTTATCAGAGAATGGGAGCTTATTTCTTCTCACCAGAACACTTTCCTTCATTCACTGAGTTTGTCAGAAGTCTCAATCAACATGAATTGCATCCCGATGATCTGCCACAGGAAGAGGAAGTAACCAGCCAAAATCTGAACTTGACTGCAGACTCGAGCATGCACATGCAAGCAGCATAGAAAGAATTCAGGGATACATGCCTTATGTAAATAAGCATAATTCTAGCATGTATGCCATGTCATGGTACTGGAAAAGATTGGATTAGGTAAAGCATACTTTAGAATAGCTGCCTTTCAAAAATACAATAGAATAGGCATGCAATTATTTTTGTATTTTGAAAGTAGGGCCTAGGCAGTCTTGTTCTTGACTGCAGTTGTTGCTTAGTCTTGGAACTTATACTTATGAAATGCAGCTTTGAGGGAGATTTTAGAATCAAAAGATGAATACATGTCTTCATTGAGCAGTTCCTGGAACAGTGTTGTTTGAAATAACTTCCACTTGTATAGGAGGCACTTATAGCAAATCTACAGAGCAAAAAAATTCGTGTAAATTATGGGAGCAGGCATTGGCAGAAGAAAACAAGGTTGTAGGTAGTGTTGTAAACAAGTTTAACAAGTATTGGGGTTATTGAGCTCAAATCGAGCTTCATCGACCTCAAAATGGTGAAGTTTGAGCTTGATAAGCATACACACACAAGTCATGATCAACTTATCAAGTTACGTGCAACAAGCTCAATGAGCTTGAGCTCAAGTAGCCTGGGGGCTACCTGACTCTCAGACAATCCTAGTTGCAAGCATCATAGCAAAGAAGCATGATATGATTTATGTACTGTGAGTCTTCACAAGTGAAAACATCTTTCTTACAGATTTACATGGCCGAAATAGGAAGACATTGATCTCTTTAGAAAAGTATATTATTTACAGAAGCGGAAGAATAAATGCAACATAACTTATTAGTCAACAAATAAGTTCCACCCCAGAAACTCCTATAAATTCTCATCTCTCTAGCAAATGTGAACGAATCAAATCCAAGCTGATGCATCAAAGAAACCCTGATTTTTTTTTTTACAGCTTGTCTCTCGCAGAAAACATGGCACTTCAAGTTTACTGACAAATCTTATTGCACCAATCCTCGAACTTTCCTGCCCCCTGACAAGAGGAGGAACACATCATTCAAGAATTATTGTACAGTATTGTATATATATTGAGTAAAATGTATCTTATTGTTCTGATTGGCTTGAAAGGAACTTATTAGATATAGAGATCCATGAAAAAGCAAAATTAATCACTAGATAAGAAATAATAATTATAAGCTAGCTACAAGAAATG